AGCACGCTTAATTTCCGGGGCCGAAAGTCCAATTCGCTAATGAATCTGTGCGGTAAGAAGCGTTCCACAGCAGCAACAATCAAGCTGCCTGCCTGTTACTACCTACCTTTCTCTGTTACCCCATACTCTACTCTACTCTACTTTCTAAGTATTTAACTTAATGCTACATTCTGTTGATTTCGGATATTTTTAGTGGTTTTGGTTTAAACTTGTGAACGTTCTTTGGTTCTGGTATCTTTGGTGGTGACTCTTTTTTTCTTGTACTCTTGTCTTCATTTTTATGTACATATTCCTTGCTGTTTTGCGATTTAAGTTTGTAGCCTTTCACTGCGATGATTCGATTTTCCAAGCTCCTAACGAAGATGCGGTGGTGGTGATGGTGGTCTGGTCCCTTCTCAAGCTTTATTGTGTTCGTCAGCTGATTTGCGGGGATTTGGGGTCGGTTCTATGAGCTTATAATTCGCAACTGGTTCTGGCATACTTTCAATCGATCGATTTTGCTATTCCGCTTGTGAGATATTTGGGACACACTTGCACAAACACACTCACTCAAACATCTGCACCGCAAAAACACTAATCAGTACATTTGTTTCGACTTTAATCCAGATCATGATCAATTAGCTTTTAAGAGATCTACGAAATTGCTTAACTAAATTTTGTGCACACATTCTCTTCTTTTATTTCTCTTTCTTTCAACTCAACCCTGTCTAAAAACGAATCTTGAAATTAACCAATCAAAAAATACAATCAATTATTAACCGAACCGAATGAAAACGAACTCATCGCTCGCTCGCCATCCATCCTCGTGACTGGTGACTAACAAAAATGCATCCATCGACTCACTGGTGACCCCGATCTGATTTGATCTGTTTTGTGCATGCGACCGCCCGCTGAATGAATGCCTCGAATGACACGGATTCCACCATGCTCTCTTGCTTGCCGGTTAGACACAGATTCGGGATTGGGACGCGCCACTCCGCCGAGGCGTGCTCCGTCGCCTGGAATGGGAATGGGCGCTTCAGGTAGGCATATGCCATCTCCCTCCGGACCGGGCTCTTTGCCGCCAGGTTTGATATCGAAACGTCGCGGATTTGATGATGGATCCAGCGATTTCTCTTTAACTCCGAATTTGAACATGGAATATTCGGGTTTGTATCTCTCTCTCAAACAAAAACCAAACCATACAAGCCATACCAATCAATACTTCAAATCAATCCTCAGTTATATAATCACCTTCCACCAATCCATACACCATTGGTCATCCACCTGCATCTGTACCACTTAAGTTGGAACGCCCCTCATTATGATTTCAAAGTTTTCATTTTCATTAATATTTTGATTTTGATTTTGTTCCGTTTGAGTACTCATTACCAATTGGCATCTTTTCCTCAGATTGCATTTTATTTATGTCAATCGTCATTCATATGAGTTCTACATAGATAAACAAGAGTTCTAGAGGGCTGCGACAGTCTGTAGAATCCGATTCTTCGTTCGTCCACTTGTTACGTTCCCTAGCGCCGTCAAATCCACGACTTTCGATGGTCAAATGTAACCCAAAATAATGTGTTCTTAGCGATTTAAAAAAAAACACCGCAAGAGCTTTCTAATCCCAAAAAACCAGATTGGCCCAATTAACCGTTTCACTTTGAAATACCAAAGACAACAAAATTAAAAGCACTTTAGTTAAGTTTTTACTTGTTAATGAATGTTTTGCTTTTAAGTTTGAGACTAATTTATCCGCATAAGAAAGTTAAGTGAGGCCTGCATTTATATTTATATTTTAATTACTATTTTTTTGTCAGGAAGTTTACTTTTAAAAAGAAATTTTTTGATTTTTAAAATATTCCCAGTGAATCTATTAGATTCACGCAACGTTTAGTATTAAATCTTGCACGTAACTTGCATTTTGATAAAATGACTAGAAGAGTTTACGATCTAGAAGCTTGCCATTGCCACCAACAAGTAGAAAATTTTCACATTTATACGATTATTCCTCCGACTGTTCTAACTTCAAACGACACGCACTCCACAGGTCCCAAACTCTATAAACAACCAGCGGCCAAATCGAATCGTGGTATCATCCTGAATGCCGTCGAATACTGTGTTTTTCCCGGCGTTGTCAACCGCGAGGCCAAACAGAAAGTGCTGGAGAAGATAGCGCGCTCGGAGGCGAAGCACTTCCTGGTACTCTTCCGGGATGCGGGCTGCCAGTTCCGCGCCCTCTACAGCTACCAGCCGGAAACGGACCAGGTGACCAAACTGTACGGCACTGGGCCTAGTCAAGTCGACGAAGTGATGTTCGACAAATTCTTCAAGTGAGTAGCTTGTTTGGTTTCTCTTGTTCTGCACAATTTATTTTGACTCTTCGTTTCCCAAAAAAACCTTTTGTTTAACAACAAATGTAAAATATAGTGTGTGCTTTTTTACGAACCCTGTTTTTCATCTCTCCCTCACAGATACAACTCAGGAGGCAAGTGCTTCTCACAAGTGCACACAAAGCATCTGACGGTGACCATTGATGCCTTCACAATACACAACTCCCTGTGGCAGGGCAAGCGGGTGCAGTTGCCCAGCAAAAAGGACATGGCGCTTGTAATCTAAGCGGAGAGCAGGACATTTTGAAAGGCATCTTTGATGAATGGGAGATGGAATGCAAGGAGGAGGAGTAGGCAGCAGTTGGGCCAACTGGCGCTTGGCGTCGTTTTGGCCGGAACCACACTATTCTACAAGATTGCGCATTAAGACATCTATGGAAACATAACAAAACACATATACCGAACGTTTTTCTGTAGGTCGCGGGATTTTGGTGTTCATCGGGGCATATAAACGGCTAATTACTATTTGCACATGTTTGAAGAACAAGAATCGGAATTTACGGAAAATATTGTAGTGATTAATACAATGCGATTGAATATTTATTTTGAATATAAATGCATATATCCAGCCTAAGAATTTATTGTTCACGCGAGCCTGCAGTAGGAGAACCTAAATGAATCTTAATGTAAACGAAGAACAGATATAAAGAACTTAAGAGCAGAGCACACACTCGAAAGCCAAAAGATTGTAATGGAATTTTGAATGATTGTATTGTATTCTTGTTTGCACACACAGTAAGCTCCGCTGAATTATGAGGATGAGGGGAACAAATGTAGAAAATCCTTTTTTATTAATTTGTTTTATATTGTTATGAAGTTTTTCATGTGAAATTTTTTCTTGGCCTTGGGCAGGCTGAAATGAAATCGTGTATGGGCCGCAGCCAAAGTCGACACTAATTTTAATGCCACTAGCTATTTATTTTTAACACTAATTAATACTTACTTTTTATGCGTATTTAAAAAGGAATAATAATACAACTAATATTTAAAGATATCTATATCTATACAACAAGAAAAAGACTTTTGACTGCTGAAACGGATCCAATGTTCTTTTAGATTTCTTTTTCGCAAAGTCAGATGCACGACGAGCAGTCAGACTCTAAAAAAATTCACAAACTGTATTGCACATCTAACGATTAGAACCATTTCGAATGCATTTGCTTCTTACGTTGAGGCTGGCTGGAATTGACTTGTGTAACTGCCATCGACCTTAATTTTAACTCTGTTCAATAATCACTTTTTAGACCGCTCAACCGTTCTATGCACCTGCCTGCACCTTAGTCCCTAACCACACTCATCCTGTTTTATAAATAAAGTAAAGCGATCGATCAAACCACGCTCTGGTATCTTATAATTTATTGTGTAAATCCGCTGGCTCTTTCACTTGATTCCAAAACGATATTATTTTAATGCCCAAAGAAGGTATTTCACACGCCGCATTGTATTTCAAAACGATTGATGTTAGCTAGCGAAGTGAGGGTAAAAACTAATAGAGCATAATCCAACAACTTTGAACCGCCATTATGGATCGATTCCGAGCAGATCGGCAATTCGGGGGATCAGGTTAAAATAAAAATGTATATGTATGTGCGTGTCGGCGCAGTTGTGCCCTTGGCGCAATTCGCTCCTTAATGAATATTAATGAGATCTAAACATTATTATATAAAATGTAATAAAGTTATTGAACATGATTATTTAACAAAGTTTTAAAGTTGGTTTTATTAAAGGCTTACATTACATCTACATTTAGTTGAGGTTCTTAAAAGTAGAGAGACTACATTTGAAAATCGTCACGCAAATCATTGTAGCGGAGAACATGCTCCTTGATCTTGGAGCCATCCACCCAGGTAACGAAATCCTCAAGGTTTCTGGAGACCAGGAAAGCGGGATCCTTGACCATTTCCGGACCAACGCGAACATGACCATGTTCTATAAGCTCGGTGGCGGCTTTCAGGTGCTCCGACATTCGCACTGCGATAATGAAATATTGAGTTGTAAGCTTAGCTAGTAGAATTTAAGCACCTACATTTAACCATGATCACGGGCAGACGACGCCGGCAGAAGTGGCTGGCGGATGTCTTGGCCGCCGTCTCCAAAGTTAGTTGATTGTTGGAAACTCCCATGGCGTGAATCTTATTTAGCAACATGGTTGTAGCCTCCACCTTAAATGGATCTGAGGCATCTAATTTGGCAATCTTTTCGGCCAGTTCCCGTATTTCCCTGGCCAACTTGTTGTACCTAGGAATGTAATCAAAATTGCCGAATTTGGTTGAAATCAACAGAAACACACACAGAACAGAGTGAACTTTACAAATGTTGACTGTGCGTAGTGCAAACTCACTTGGTGTAATCCTCCCTTTTTTGTATGTGAAAGCGTCTCAGGACCTTGTTCTCCTTGCCGCTGTTGTCCACTTTCCAGGTGATAAAATCCACCTTTTTGAGCAGTTTCTGCTCATGGAATTTGAGTTTACGAACCATTTTTTATTTATTTTTTCTAACAGATTTTTGTTGACTATCTTGCACATGGGCGGCAAAGTGTGACCAAGGCAGGGAAATGTAAATATACCAAAACATCAAACAGCTGTTTTGTGCGTCTTAAAGCAGTGCAGAATGTAAGCAGTAGTAGTAAAATAATTATTAAGAAGAGATTTGAAGAGATTATTTGCCGAAATGGCCTCCGCCTCCATGGACGAGGACATATCCGCCAACCCGCTGCCAAGCAATGAAGAGGATCCCCTGGCCGAGGAGCGCCTGGGTTTCGTGCGCGAAGTGGGCGCCCAGGCTGTTTGGAGCCTTTCCTCCTGCAAGCCGGGTAATTCTAGCTGTGCCCCCTAAATCTCCTAAAGAATATGATAATAAACCCAGATTTACAGGCTTTGGCGTAGAGCGTCTGCGGGACAACATCATGGACACTTACTGGCAGTCGGACGGGCAGTTGCCCCACCTGGTAAACATTCAGTTCCATAAGCGGACGAACATCAGCCAGATCTACATATACACGGATTACAAGCTGGACGAAAGCTACACGCCATCGAGGATCTCCATACGATCCGGGACCAATTTCAATGATCTGCAGGAGCTGCAGGTGATGGACCTCACCGAACCCACCGGCTGGGTGCAGATACCCATCAAGGATGGTAACGTCAAGTCCATTCGCACCTTTATGCTGCAGATCGCTGTGATCTCGAACCACCAGAATGGACGGGACACCCATATGCGCCAGATCCGCATCCATGCGCCCGTCGAGGGCAAGCACTATCCTCTGGAGCTCTTTGGCAAGTTTGGCACCGTCGATTTCCAGAAATTTGCCACCATTCGTTAAGGAATACTCTGGCTTTAGTCGAAGTCTTTTATTTTTATGTATTTTTTGGGGGGTATTTAACTGCTAAAATACAACATTTAAAACATTACTTTAGTAATTGTATGCATATTTTTGGTGTTTCTAATTAAATGCCCTCGCACTTGTATATATAAATCGATTGCAAATAAATATATATACCGTCGTCTAAGCTTAAGTACAAATTAACAAACACAATGGTAGTGTAAGAGTTATTATTGTTACTGTTTTTATCGCGATACAAATGCTAAATGTGAACATGGAACGCCAACGAAACTGTGCGACGAGGCTTATTGCATTATTTGCATAATATGTTGCACTACCCCGAGGAGGATTGTCGTTAATGATTGGTGATTATGTGTTCGTGTTTTTTTGCTTGGCAGCCTTCAGGGTCTTGTAGTGATCCTTCTCCTCGCCGTTTTCGGGTGGCTCGCACTCGTAGGAAGCTTTCATCAAGAGATCCTCGGATAGCACCTCCGTCTTCAGCAGATAGGACACCACATTTGCTAATTGTTCATAGGGACAGTCCAGTCGTTGCCATTTGCTAAAGTTCCGCAGCTGGGTGCCCAATAAAAGGCACTTCTCAAAGTTCAGGTTACTGTTGGCCAATCTGTAAATGTTTTTGCTTAATTTTCCCCTCTTATGAAAATCATCAAAATAACAATCTTACTTCGTTTCGTGGCTCTCGTTGATGGCATGCAAATCTTTGAGGAACAGCGAGAAGAATGGTATGATGGCACGCTCGATTTTGTTGGCCGTTTCCCTTTCCGAACGCCAAACAGCTGCCTTCATGGTGGAGCGGTAGTTGAGAAAGTTCGAACTGGGGTCCATTTGGTGCTCCAAGCCATCGAACTTTGTTGTCTGCACTTTGGCCCACTAAAAATATGAATAATTTGATTTAATCAATAACGTTTAACGTTTTGAACAAAACCCACGGTTTTCTTAAGGCGAGCTATGGCAGTCAGGTTTAAAGCTGTCAGAATGGCCATCAAGCTGTTGAAGTTGCCCGTGTTGAAACATTCCAGAGCAGTCTCCACCCAGAAATCAATCATTTGTGCCCTCTGAGACTTTTTCCCAAGCTAAAGAGGGTAAACAAATATTAACTTTATGACAAGTATGTTTACTGTAACCATCCCTTACCTTCAATATTTCAGTGGCAGTCAAGTAGCTTAGCTGGTTAAACCACTGCACATAGCTGTCGATTGTGACCTGGCTGATGCAATTGGAGCCCAAGGTGCCCGCCTTGGTTTGGGTCATGCAGGATTTCAGCTCGCCCTTGTCCAGTATTTCCACAAACTCCTCGATTCTTATTTGTGACAAATAAGCGTACTCAATGGCATACAGTTGGTGGGCCAACTCGAAGGCATTGCCGCAATTGCTTAGCACATTGTCCGTCTTGTAGACATTGGCCGCAAAGCGTTTTAGTGACTTAATACTGCTCTGACGGCCCAAGGAGCTGGCGGAAGGTTGCTTGACCAGCAGATATTGTAGTTGGCTTCTTGCCTTCTCGGCTCTTTGTGCCTGAGATTGGGGAATGCCATCCAAAAAGGCAGGCATTCCTTTAAGCTCACGCTTCTTCTCCAGCTCTTGCAGCAGCATGTCGTTGCTAAAGTCGCCGGGACAGATGTTCAACCAGTGATTTAGCAGTCGGATCAGATTATCCTCCTTTCCCTGGCACTTGGCAATGATCTTGGAGAGCAGTTCATGAGGGGGCGAATACAAACGAGAAGTGCTCAAAAGGGCAAACTTCAGATCCTCATCGTTGCCATTGATTAGCAGGCTGACTAGCGAATCCAGGTTGCCCTCCTTGGGCAGGTCTTTGGCGTAAACTGGCGGTGGTTGGCAATCGGTTGGCTCTGTGATCTGCAAGTGGGTGTTCTAAAGAAGGCAAGATTTGGGTTACTACATATTAAAAAGTACTACAAAACTTACGAGGATGGAAACCGCATCCGCCTCGTCGGCGGAGCTGGGAATGTCGCAGTACAAGGAGTCTGTCAGAGTGTCGCGAGGATGTGACCAGGGCGCACTCATGGACACGCTGTGGAAGAGGCCATCGTGCCCGGAATCGCAGCTGCTTATATTCGAGCTCTTGTCCCCAATGGTGGTGGATGACACGGATCCGATGACCTGATCGGAACCGGTGATTGCCGAGCTGCTGGACATGAGGGAGGCATTCGAGAAGGTTTGGTTCAGCTGGCGGCCCAAGGGATCAGCCGGGCGATCGTCCGAGAACGTGGAATTCGAAGTGTTGCAATATTTAAGGGCATTCTCGGGCGTGGCACGAGCCAAGGCCGACTGTTGCTTGACAGGATGCCAGATCTCCTTTTGGTGCGACTGGTGGTTGAAGTTCTCCTTCGTCTCCACGGTCCGTTCGTCAAGGATCTGTCCGTTGCGCGAGACCAGCACCTCTTCCGTGGTGGTCAGCGATGATTTAACGGTCAGTGAGGTCTCCACCTCGATGGGCTGCTGGGCTAAGCCGGCGCGAAAGAGCAGCTGGTTCAAATGCTCCACCGAGGGCATCTGGCCATCTAGCAAGGCCGCCTTAATGGCACTAGCATCATCCGCCGGCAGGCCATCCAGTTTCACGGGCACTCCGTTGACCAGGAGCACCTCTTCCTGCTGCAGCGAGGACGAGGTCTCGCAGTCCACGATCTTCACGTCCTTGCCGAACAGGGACTCCACTGCGTTGAGGATGTCTTCGTCCATGGTTGGGAAGGAGGAGGGATATTGGTGAATCGAGCCTTTCTGGGTTGGGTTGGTTATTAAATGCGTTATGACCACACAGGGGACTCTTTGGATTAGTCGCAATGCACATGCACTATCATCGCGTACATTTCTGGAAAGGAAGGGCCAAGGGAGAAACCGTGATTAGCACACACAATGTGGGGACAGACAGGTGATGGTAATCCGAGGCTTTAGATTCGGAAACGCGCAGTGTGACAACGCCCACTTTTGGGAAAGTGGGCTGGTCTGCTACGATCAGAACAGAACGCCATTCAAGCGGACACACCTGCAGGAACACTGATGCTTGGTGACCTTCCATGGGACGCACTGCCGCCATTCGTCACGGCATTCCCCGCATGCTGCTGCTCATCAAATTTCTTTTGTCACGCCGCGCCTTTTATAGTTTAATTCGCCAATTGACTTAATTTATTTCTATTATTGTTGTCGCTTAAAGTGTGACTGTGGATGCACCGTTGAAAAATACTACCGGTCTTTGGGGAAAAATACTAAATGGAATATAACATTGGAACGAGTGGTGCGGTCCTCTAAAAAGCAGTAGTTCTGATTGGACTGCTTTCTAATGTTCAAATTAGGTTATTTTCCGTTACTTTTCAAATTAAAGCTTTTTACTTTGCTATAAATGGTCCATAAGAGTGACTATTTTGTGCAATTGGTCTAATATGTATAATTTTCGCATGATCTTTTGCGAAAAAATGGCAAAAGTTTATTATTTAACGATGTGGAAGCCTTTCGATTGCATATTTTAGGACAAATTCTGCGATTTTTGTCATTCTTACTTTTGAACATTACGCCCAGAAGTTTTTATATAAAAACATTTGGTTATTTAAGGTTATTTTTGATTTTTGAATATTTTTCTTGAATTTTTGATGACTATTTTTTTTTTTTCAAAAAACTGCTTTGCAGAAAGGTGACCTAAAAAAAACAAAAATAGAAAACCCGATTTAAAAAAGCAAACCTCTAAAGGTTTCTGGTACAACTTTATAGGATTTGCGTTATAAAGATGGTTTATAACTTTTATCTATTTTTTTTTAAACTTTGATGATGCAGGGTCTTAGAAAATTAAGACACAAAACCTAAGAGGTAGGTCTTTTTAAAATCGGGTCGAAGCATATACTAATGATACTGGTTTTCCGTTATGTGTTATTACAAAATTACGTTTGCCAAGTTTATTTTTCAGATACACCCCTCAAACCACAGGATAGGAGCACTCATCGGCGATTAAACAGAAGTTCTGGCCACGTGGCAGGCGGAAATAGCCCTTCTCGCCCCAAGTGTCGTCCCACGAGTTCTTCACGATCCAGTAGTCCTGTCCGTTCTCCGATCCGTAGCCAACGACCAGGATCGCGTGGTTCGGCTCGCCCTGGTTGCACTCGTTGTCGTTGTAGATGCCACCCTCGTAGTTCTTGAGGGTCTCCAGACCGTTCACGGAGCAGGCGACGGGTCCCAAGGTGGCCACCACCTTCTTCAGCTGCTCCTCATCCTTGGGCGGAATGGCGGCGAATCCCTGAAGGCGGGCACCGGCCTTGCTGTCGTCGTACTTGCACGTATCCTTGTTGTCAATGTAGGGATAAACGCCCGCCTGCGAGACGCCCTTCTGCACCTCATCGATGAAGCAGAAGGCGGCCTCCTGGAAGCCACCGTCGCATCCGTTCAGCCCGAAGTCCTCCACTGGACCGCAGTCCACCAGGTTCTGCTCGGACAGCACGGGCAGACTGCCCGTCTTGCGGAAGGTGTGGCCCTCGATGGCTCCGGTGGTGGCAAATGCCCAGCAGGATCCACAGGTGCCCTGGAACTTCACTGGGGTCACACCTCCTTGCTCGCGCCAATCGAAGGAGTCCGGAACGGGGCTTGGCGGCAGGTCCACCTGCTTCAGACTGGCGGCAGCACGAGCTCTATGGATAAGAATTAAGAAATAAGATCATACAATAAAAATAACCAGCTATAAATTGTACTTGTTTTTGAATAATTGTTCTGTTTGTACTTAAAGGAAGAAAAAAAATGTATTCTTTAACCGAAAACATCTTAAAAGATACTTGATTTAAGTAAAAAACTATTAAAATAAGTTCGAGGTCAAGTCGGAGGAAAAGATTCGTAAGAACCTACAGAAAATGTTTTTTCTATTGTTTCAACTTATTCGGCATTGATTTACGAATAAATCTGATTTTGATTATACAGTCAATTCCCACGAAGCGATTCGATACACTTATAATATTTTTTGCTTGGCTTAAGCACAAGTTATAATTAGTTTAAGTTGTGGAAAATTAATCTAAAGTCAATAACATTGGTTAAGAATAAAAAGTTATTGAAAGGAAAGTTAGGAATTCGGAAAAAAATTAGCATATTTTAAACCCTAGCATAGAATTCTCTATTTTTTCCTTGAGCTACAAGACGCGATACTTACTTAGCTGCGGGGCTTCGCTTGAGACCGGTCAACTGCTGGAGGAACTCGGCGTGGGTCAGATCGGCAAAGGCATTGACAGCCTGCTTGAAGGTGGCAGCTCCGCGGGCAAAGGCCTCGTTTCCGGCATCTACCAGGTTCTTGGTGGCGGCGAAGGCTCCCTCGTGCAGAGCCTGATCGGCGGCATCCAGGTACTTCTTACCAGATTGAGACTGTAAGAGAGCCCCACTTTAGTCAACCCAATTGGGGGAGGAATCGCGCAGAGATCTCACCAAGAAGTCACCAAAGTCCTGGACATTCGACAGCAGAGGCACCTTGGGCACACTACTGGCAAAGTTGCTAACTGCACCCTGCACGGCACCTGCTGCGTTTTGGAAGGCTCCGGCCAGGCGATTGGCACCACCTCCGAATCCACCGCCGAGTCCTCCTCCTCCGCCGCCTCCAAAACCTCCGAATCCTCCGAATCCCTGGCCAGAAACAGCAGCCACCAGAAGAGGCAGAACCCAAAGAAGCTTCATTCTGATCTGCAAAGGAAACGAAACGAAACGAAACGAAATTGATTGATGGCTTGGAGTCGAAGCGGTTGCAACTGGTTTCTCAGGGAATTACGACATTAATTATATTTGATTGCCCATATATTATTGCCATCAGCCATCAGCCGATGCAATTGAGTACTATATATGCTTAGGTTTCATGCGAATCATCATCACCAAGTACTTCCCGATTCCGACTAACCTTACGCGTTCGCACAGTCCACACAAATGTTTTTGGCTCGATCGAGGGTTAGAGCTTTTATAGCTATTAGGCCAGTGGGTTTCTCATCGCTCGTACTATAAACTCGCCAACCTCGCCCCCACCCGACCCAATCCACAAATCCCAAGTCCAGGGGCTCGCAATTATACAGAAATCGAGACGCGTTGATTATACGTGCTATAACTATTTCGATTTGTGCAAATCCGAGTGGTTTGGGAACTCGTCTTGCTTCATTAGCGCTGCGAAAGAAGGCACTGAATATATACACCCAGAAAAAATAGTGGTTTCATTCCTACACAGAAAAAAAAGTGTTAGTTTAAATTTTATATTTACAGGTCAAAAAATACGTTTAATTTTTACCATTTGCTTCTTTTCTTTCGCTTTAAAATTTCAAAGTAATATGCCTTGTAATATGACCAAATTGACACGGAAAATTTGTTTGATTCTAAACTTATGGTAATAATAAATTATATTTTTCAAATACATTTATTTTTTCTAAAAGTTTACGCTTAACATTTTTTTTTAAGTGTAGGAGAACATTGAACAAATTATAACTGAATCTAGTTTGGGCCAGATGAAGACCGAATACCCGAATAATTAGAATATAAATCTTGATTATTTGGCTCTTATGTCAGCAACGATTACGCATTTGGGTGTTTATATTATTTGCTGCATTGCAATTTCTCGTTTTTAATTAGCACTTTTAATCCCTTTTTTAAGTCATTTTGTGATAACGTATCTTTCAGTTCAGGAAAAACCGGAACAAATTGAAAACCAGTTGATAAATTTGAGTAAATTTAATATTACGACACACGAGATTATCTGAACTGAACACGGGGCAAAATTTAATTTAAAAAGCAGAACACGCTTAAGTTCCGTTTCCACTTAATCAAATCGCCGTTAAAACAGAATCTTTATCAATCTGTCGGCTTATAGCTTATAAATCAAATAACTCGACCAACATTTCTGGTCGATGGACTTGAAGAAAATCTTTTCGCAGAGCCGAGGCTAATTGAATATTAGTTTTAATGCATTCGTTTAAATTACCTGTATATGTATAGAAACTATTAATTAAGCCATAATTTGCATACATATTAATAGCAATAACAATAAATTAACATTTTTTATCCCACCCTGTTGCTTGTTTTTGTGGGCAAACATAGTAAACAGAAGCTGTCCCGAAATAAATAACATCTTAAGGTGCTCCCGCATTGATTGCCCTTGAGGAACCCCCCATCTGTCTGAAAAAACAAGTTTGCTGTCTAAATTAGGTGACACTGAGTTTACTAAGTCAACACAACTATGAATAATTAAAACGTTCACATTTATACATCGCTTAGGACTAAGCGCCACATATGTTATTGATGTTGAGTTAATTAAATTATTAGTGTTGGAGTATTTTTAACTTATAAATAAGTTATAAGCTATAAATAATCTTAAAGATTGTATGTTTATTAAAAACAAATTAGCTCAAATCTAAATTTTACCCGTTTTCTTAAAGTTTTACAATTATATGATATAAATTGGTTAAATATACTCTGGATATTTTACTCCAACGAAATTTAAAGTAAATAAAGTTTCAATGACAAAAAGTTTTTTTTTATTATCTCATACATATATACATATATTTATTTGTATTATATAATCTTATTTTAAAACTTTTACTGTTTTTTATGTAAATGTTTCTAAAGTAATTTATTGGTTACAAAATATTATAAGTATCATTAATTTGAAGGGTAGCGACTAAGAAATACATTATGTAAATATAATTAAGCGTGAGAAACTATAGGATAGGAGCACTCTGCGGCAATGTGGCAAAGGTTTTGGCCCCGCAGCAGGCGAAAGTAGCCACTGTCGCCCCAGGAATCGTCCCAGGAGTTCTTGACGATCCAGTAATCCAGGCCATGCTCCGATCCGTAGCCCACGACCAGGATCGAGTGGAGTAGCTCATAGTCATTGCAGGTTGGATCGTCATAAATGCCCGACTTGTAGAAACGCAGGTTCTCCGGCATGCTTACTGAGCAGGCTACTGGTCCCAAATTGGCCACCACCCTCTTCATCTGATCTTCGTCTCCGGAGGATAGCACTCCGAATTCACTAAAGTGGCCACCCACTGTGCTCGGCACAAACTTGCATGATTTCTGGCGGCCAGCATACGGATAGCTTTCGGTCAGCGAAATGCCCATCTGGGTTTCAGAGAGCCAGCACAAGGCGGCCTCCTGGAAACCGCCATTGCATCCATTTAGATTGAAGTCCTGTTGCGGACCACAGTCCACCAGATTCTGCTCGGAGAGATTGGGCAGCTTGCCCTTCGCGGCAAACGTATGACCTTCGATGGCTCCGGTGATTGCAAATGCCCAACAGGATCCACAGGATCCCTGATTTTTCACGGGTGTTACGCCTCCCTTCTGCCGCCAATCGAAGGAGTCCGGAACGGGTAAGGCATCCGTAATGTTCACCATTTTGCGGCTGGCTGCAATTTTTGCACTGAAAAAGAAAAATTGATTACTTTTCTCTTGCATATGGGAATTATAATTTTGGTTAAAAAGTTTCAACGCAGTAAAGGAGAGATCTCCGACTCTAAATATTATAAATATTCTTCATTGGCATCACTGGAGTTTGTTTTATTAAAACTAAACATTAATTTTTTAATAATAATTATATCATCTATATGCAAAAAACAACTGTACTCATAGATAAAGAGATAGATTACTATTTTAGAGCTATGGATTTAAATTAATAAAAATCGAATAGCGATATAATATAGCTCCCATAGGAGCGATCGAAGGGTATAGCGGAAAAGCAACATAGACATTATTTTTAAGCATATTCACCTAAAAATCGAATATTTTGTTTTTCTAATGGCTGCTTCTTACATATACTTAGCCTTTTTTTTTGTTTTGCAAAGTGATAGAGGGCTTACTCTGATTCGGGTGATCTCCTGCGGCCGGTCATCTTTTTGATGAACTCCTCACGAGTCAGATCGGCGAAAGCGTTCAGAGCCAACTGGAAGGAGGAGGTTCCTTTGGCGAAGGCTACGTTGCCGGCATCCACCAGATTCTTGGAGGCTGCAAAGACACCCTCGCGAAAAGTGCGATCTGCCTCGGAGAAAGCCTGTCCGGTTTGATCCTGTAAAGGGGCTTCAAACTAAGGTCCAAGTTGTCAAGGGAATAGGTCCAGCAAATCTCACCAAGAAGTCGTCAAAATTATCGATGTTTGCCAGCACTGGCACCTTGGGCACAAATTTGGCAAAGCTGGTTAGAGCCCCTTGGGCAACAATTGAAAGAGATTCAGCCACTCCGTCTGCAAATCCTCCAGCTGCACTTGCAAACCCTCTAGCAATTTCTCCAAATGCATCCAATCCCCCAGGTGCTCCTCCGCCGAATGCTTCGTTTACGAGTTCTTGGGCAGAAGCCTTCGTCACGAGGAACGAAAAAAGCAAAAGAATTTTCATTTTGATCTGTGAGAGAAATAGGATTACTTTACATGCCGTTCATTTTTTGGTGTTTTGAAAACCTTATAGTTAATGTAAATAAATACAAGATTTTCAACTTCGTGCGGATAAATAGAGGACTTTTAGCGTTGTTTTTGTTTAGTAATTAAATTTTTATGGGCTAAACTAAACCAACCGTTCTAACCGATGCACTGGTGATAATGTGTTCGACACCGCCTTTTATAAACTGTATTCGGACCTGCTTTTTTCATCATGAAGATTCCCGATCAAGAAACTTGTATCTTTGGGAATCAATACAAATAAGAGTTTGGATTAAGTGTTGAAACTGGTAACATAAGACAGCTCGTTGTTAAATAACACGCAAGACTTCCATTTATTTTTTTTTCAAGATTCATACCAATTCTCAAGCCCACCTCGAAAATATGAACACGAGCTTAATTTTATTCGACAATAAGTCGTAGTTTACAAGTGTACATATAAATGTAGATCAATTAATTTTAAAGTGTTGGCTTACTTTGTTTGCATTATTGGCACATAAATTATTGCTTTCAATTAGCACAGTTAATCCCATCTTAACACAAATTATGGATTTTGTGAGAAGGTTACGTTTTTTGATGGCCGGAAGCAATGGAAAACTCGTTTTTAAATTCCAGTCAATATAATATTATGACACACAAGACTTTTTGATCCTGACGGACTTAAAACCAAACCGGCTATTTATGGTTTTAGCCACTTTGCTACTTAGTAAACAAGTGCACACGATTTTGTACTGATAAACTCAAATTGGCTAAATATTTTTAAAGTTAGTAAACAGAAGCTGACCCGAGATAGATAATTTCTCCGATTCGCAAAAGAGTTTTAAATGTATATAATGGTGCTTCTGCTTTGCTTGCCCATCTGTCTGAAAAAACGAGTTTGCTATCTAAATTAGGTGACGCTGACGCCAATTATGTCAACACTAAAATTAATATTAAAAAAGTTTATATTTATAGTAGGGATAGGCTCAACTATTATTTAAAGTATTTGTATTTTGTTACACACAAGAAAAATAAGAACATTTAAATTATAGCCTACATCTAGATAATTTAATAAATAGTGTTTTAGGCCCTAAAAACAATCGTTCTAGGAGGTCATGACGACCTGAACCGATTGTCTTGTAGATTCGCAGGCTCTTCATTTTCTTGAATCTTTCGGTATTAATACAAATGTTTCTAAACTACCATTTTACGAATATTGGCTTATGTGTTGAAACCAGAAATATTGGGCAGCTCTAGTTCAGCTTCAGTCTATCAAATTTAACGATACGCGTGGCTTGTATTTAAAATTCCGAGTTTCTCAATCCTCCAGTAGCTTAATTTTGAGCTGCGTGGTGACTTAGTTGTCTTAAATGTTAATATATTCGTTGCATTATTGGCACATTAATTATTGCTTTCGATTAGCACAGTTAATCCCGATTTAAAACAAATTATGCGTTTTGTGCATGGTAAGCTAACTTTTTGTTGATGACCGGAAGCAATCGAAAACTCGTTTTTATACCCTTGTAGAGGGTATTATAATTTCAGTCAGAAGTTGCAACGCAGTGAATGAGACATCTCTATAAAGTATATAAATTCTAACTTTGCAGTAATTTTCTATTTTTATTTTTTATTAACATCAGAAAACGATATCATATAGCTGCCAAAGGAACGATCGAATAATTGACCTTAAAATCATCGTAGCTTTAATAATTTTAAACACATACGCTTATAAATCGAAATTCAGATGCTATAAGAATATTTTATTTTTATAGTAGCTGCAAGGGTATATAAACTTCTGCTTGCCGATGTTAGCTTTTTTCTTCTTTTTAATTAAGTCAATTAAATATTATGACTCGCGTGATTTTATTATCTTGACGGACTTAAGAATAATCGGGTGCTGGCCTTAGACACATTGCTAGTAGTAAACAGGTATCCTTTGTTATTGCACCCGGTTTTGTAGAACCTTTCCATATCTAGGTTAAAAAAGGCAAACTTTTTTGCATTACCATGTACATTCCTATTATACAAGCGCAATTAGAAAATAGAGCGCACACCAATATAAGTGTCAACAAAATATTAAAACCTAACCTAATTAAAACATCATATTTAACCATTTTAAAATTATATAAACCACTTATGAAGAAGGAAATTATAAAAAGATTACCCCCATTAAATTTTTGTCTCAATTAACCAACAGATCACATAAAACCACCTCTTAACGGTATCAACACAAAACATATTGTTTTATTTATAACGACTCAACTTGCTTAAGTTAGGCAAGAGAGATTAACATTTTTTACAGAACTAGAATTAATTTAAATATTTGTTTTTCTAGCAATCTATCCGCTCTTGCGACGTCTGGTTTGCCCGGGTCGCGATTCCTGGGCTTCGTGAATGGGCGTGGCCTCTGGCAGAAAGATAATGGGCTTTCTCAGATCAATCGGTGGAGATGCCCAATTTTTGGTCATTGGAAAGCGCTGCAATAAAATCAAATAAATATAATAAATTATTCAAAACATTGAATACAATTTAAAAAGAGATTTCGTTACTCACCCCACTAGGTCCATTAACAGATCCATGTCCCACCTGTGGAAAAGCAAGGGAAAGTGCCAAAGTGGCCAGGAAGGTCAGAACCAGAATAATTTTCATTGTGTGACTTGTAAAAAGGAGATGGTTTTCAAGGCAACTGTTTGGCTTGCACTGATTCTGGACTCCGTGGCGGTTCCCTTATATAGTCCCGCCAAGTGGGAACTTTCTCCAGCGAGCTCACTTCCTGCACTTCCGGATGCGTGTGCAACTGAATCATTTGTGCACTTGAAAGTCTGGCTGTTTAAAAATAACTCTCACATCGGACACTTTTTCTTTCTGGAGCTGGAACTGGAGCTGGAGCCACCGATGCCGATGCCGATACCCCCAGAGATTCATCCATATTGGGGCATTCCCAGTTAGCAGTTACTTACTGTTCTCGGGCATTCTTGGTTTCTTGAAGAACAGAAAAAGAAACAAACCAAAGAATCCAAGAACCAAAGAACCTTTTTTATACTCGTTCGTTGGACCCTGCTATACATTTCAAGGTTGTCGTGGCATCTGCTGCTTCTGCTGCCATATACCATATATGTATGACTTGATATATAGTATATATATATATATGGCTGTGTGCTTCTTTCATTAACCACTCTGAGCAACAACAACATCGCAGCACAACAGCAACATCAGTCAACAGAACTTCAAACGAAGTCTCTCGTCTGCGCATGCGCGAAGGTGGAGCTCGAGATGAAGATGAAGACGAGAATGAAGATGAAGATGAAGAAGCCCAATGGAAGGATGGGGCAGCACACACAGAAAAAAAAACATATTTAAAAGTCACCATTGTTTTTGATTGTTAAAAAGATATTGTTAAAGAAATGGGAAATAGTAGTTTAACTATACAATATTTAGGAACACAGAATATTAGTAATTGTTGGTTCCTTCTTTTTAGCTTTTTTTTTGTTATTTATTATTATTTTTTTTTTTTTTTGTGGCTTATATATTTTATAATCATCATACATACATACATACAAATACATAAAATTTTTGTGAATAGTAATGTAAAAATTTTTCTATGTCGTTTTTTTTTTTTGTGTACAGGAGGCGGGACGAGATGGGGAAAGGGTCTTGGCCAGGGGGCCCCTTCTGGATCTTTTGGTTAATGTGTGTGTTGTTGTGGTTGTGGTACGTCTACCATCTCCATCTTCATCTTCATCCAATTGTTGAACGACACCGACCGACACACATAAAACTTGATGTGATGCGTCTGCGTCTCGAAAATCCTCTTTAAATTAAGAAAGATGATTTGCAGATTTGAATGCAGACACGGACATGGACACGGGCAGCATGATGTAAGCCCACCGAGGAATTTATTTATTCTTCAGCCTCTGGCTTTCGTGAGGCGTAGAATGCAATAAAATTCCACACGGCACACACTTGAGTTTTTAGAGCCTTAGCAGTTAATTTACGATTATTGGCTTTCATCTTCGTTTCGACTAAGCCAAATAAATCCCCAAGACTTGTTTATGATTTGCGTTTTGGCCATGGTCAAGGCGAGCCGTTATGAGATATTCTAGCATCTCAGAGATTGCTTATTAGGATTATAATCTATTATTGGAGAGTTTACGGTTCCACGAACAATGGAAGGAAAAAAGGCACTTACGAAAGCATCACTTTGGGGATTTCTTTATGGTGAACATTAAGTAACTGTCAATATATAAAGCCAATAAGTACTTATTGGTGTTATACATTGACAGTCACTTTAAGTTATAAATGATTTTATTACATTTAGTACCTTTTGATATTATATATTGGCAATCCATTTGCATTAAAAATATTATCATCTCAGAATCTAGGCTGAAAATGTGTTCACCTAAAATCAAATCTTTATTTGGTTATCAGTGTTTAGTTGAAACATATAACCCCCTTCATTATAAACCCTCACATCCATTAAATACAAACTGTTTATTTACTTATTACGTTTATTAATCAAGAGTTTCCTTTTTTGTGGTGGTTGTCATACAATTAAAGCATACAATACATATATATTTATATATAGATTAATGTCTTAGCTCCTTTAATCTCTCGCTGGATCGTTCATTTCAGCGGGGTGGTCATCCAGGTTGGCCTGCTCTGGGGTCCTCAGAGAGAAGCGTCATTTTCGGACATGTCCGGCCGGCTCTCGAAAATGGTCATTCCTCAGTGGAACCCGTGGAACAGAATCCCAGTGGGATGGATGACCTCCCAACCCCGTCCAGACCCAAACAAACACACACAACTTAGGCTATGGTGGCTAGTCCGCAAGGACATGCCTAGTTGTTGTTGGCCGCCAGTGGCTTGCCCAGGACACGCATGGCATTGGAGTAGTCCGAGTCGATCTGCGGGATGATCTGCTGCTCGTTGGGCCGCAAAGTGCGTATCAGATCGTTGAGGGACAGGGAGGATTGTGGAGTGAGCTCCTCCTTGGGCTGCAGCTCCTGGGAGCTGGCCATCTTCTGGAAGTCCTGGGCAATCTGCTTAATGCGCTCCTCGATGGCGGCAGCCGGGGATTCGGTGGTGGAGCTGGGCAGGGCCAGAGCCTCCGCCTCCGCCTCCGCCTCAGTTTCGCCCTCATTCTCCAGCTCATGCTCATCCCCCTCCGAATCGTGCTGCGCACTCTCGTTATCCTCAGCCGCAACCGGAGCAGCTGGTGCCGCATCCGCATCCGAATCCGAATCAGTATCATGATCCTGCTGCTGCTGTTGCTGCTGCTGCTGCAGCTGCTGCTGCACCTCCTCAATGGAGTGCATCTCGGGATGCAGTTCGTTGTCGCTGAGGGGGAATACATGCTCCTTGATGTCGTTGCCATCGCTGTCGTTGCCCAGTTCGCGGGCATGCTCTCCAAAGTTGTCGTGCTCCTCGTGCTCCTCGTGCTCCTCATGCTCCTCCTCGCCGCCCTCTGCCTCGTGGTCGTCGTGCTCCTCGGCCTCCACATCCGGCTCCTGATCCTCCACATCCACATCCGCGGAGTCGGTGTCGGGCAACGAGCGATCGTGGTTCAGTTTGAAGGACATGAAGGAGGGCTGTTGCTGCTGGGAGCTCGAGTCATCGAGCAGTCGGTGACCGCCAGCTGGCGAGGATTTGGCCTTGGCGGCAGTGTACATGGCTCCACTGGTGGACATCAGCAGGGGCAAAGGAGTGGTGGAGACGGCCGCATGCAGGTTCAGCAGGGAGGCGGGAGTCCTTGGGGTAGTCGAAGTAATGGGACGTCTATATTTTTCAGAGAATAAAAAGGCAAATGAAATATAAAGAAATATTTTAATGTTCGGTGTGTCTTTGTTGGGCGGTTCGGTGGCGTGGTTAGTGCGAAAGTGGCTCAGCCTTAAGTTAGTTAGTTGAACACAATTCTTCATGACAACATCAACAACAACAACAACAGCAACGAGAGCGATACAACATCTAAGGAAGCTAAGCCCCAAACCACCAAACAAAATACATTTTTGGCGCTCATATGAGATGGAACACAAAAATTAATGCAATCAAAAGGGAATTTGAAAAAATACTTGAAAATAGAATTTTTCTATTTTAAATCTGTGAAACAGCATAGAAGATAATTTAACATTTTACTATGTTTTTATGTTACATATCTTAAGAAGTTTACCTGTATTTAATTTGATTAACAAATTTTTCTTTGATTGTTTTAAGAAAATACTTTATGTTTGAATAGATAATTTTTGGTAACTGACTTTCAAAAAACGTTTTGTGGAAAGGTTTATCAGATTTTATAAATAAATTTTTAAAATATGGCCCTTTCGTTAAGTTTTTCTAAACATTTTATTTTGAACTTTATCAGAGATTGCATTAACTTTAATAGTTTTCTTCTTCCCATTGGCGTCTACAAGGCAGTGTTCTTTTTTGGACGATATTTGTAGATTTTAAGGAATGTCGATAAGGATTGAAACCAATTTTACGGCTTGGCTTATAGAACTTGGAGTGGCGTTAGTAAGAAGTCGCATTAGTCTTTAGATATACATATGCATATAGATTGTGTGTGTAAATATGGTAGATTGGTTACGATTTGGGGTTTAGCTCACCTATTTGTTCGTTCTTTTTGCAAATTCTGTTTTTGGGAATCGAAATCGGATTCGCACTCTGTCACTGTGTGTGTGTGTGTGTGTGTGTGAGTGAGTGTGTGTATGTTTGTGGTCAACTAAAGTAAATTGTGTCTTAATCACATTATCCTTGCGTAATCTCTTGATCTGTTTAGTTTTTATCTGGTATAAATATGTGTTTTTTTTTTGTTCTTTACTTAATTAGGGACATTTGTTTAATTGCCACTGACGGGCAGCTCGTATAGCGAATTAATTAACGTTAATTATAGCATAATTTGTTTATTGCATTATCAATATTCTTAGTTCCTCCTCCAATCAGTGCTCTTAATATCTGTTCGATTTGCGTGTGGTTGTGTGGAGTTGTGGAGTATTGGAGTAGTGTGGAGTGGCTCCGCGGTCAAGTGTCCTTACCCCTGCGCCGACGAGACGGGGATGCTGCCGTAGTTGTAGTAGTAGCAGCGGGTCTGCTCGCAGATGAAGTCCTTCACGGCCGAGCAGTCCTCGGGCATCCACTTGAGCGTGGGCTGCTTCAGGATCACGCATCCCTTCTCGGCGCCACTGCTGCTATAGATTGTATAAAGGGAAGGAAAAAGCATATCGATGTAGATGGGTATAGTTTGGAGTCCTGAAGACACAGAGAATTAACCACATTGGTTGATTAAAATACCCCTAAAGCGAGTTATTTTGACAGAGGTTTTAAACAATTAACGGCGTTAATTCTTTTGGTAGCATTATTTCCCGTGCATTTCTCTTAGGAACCAACAATTGTTTCCCAAATGGATTGCCTCTCTGTGTACTATTAGTTCAGGACTACTTACCTGTCGCGAGCGGTACGCTGCGGAGAGGTGTTGCTATTATGATCGACGGGATCGAGCAGACCGGCCTGGATGGCGTCCGCCGAGTTCTCGAAAAAGTCGAAGGTGGCGTTGAACGGCAGACCAGTGCTCATCCATAGGAACATGCCCGTGCCCAGGCGATTGCCGGAGGTCCAGAAATCGTAGTTGCCGTAACCGGCATTCTTTAGATACGTGGTCATCGACTCGGCCTTCTCCTTCGTCTCAAAGGAGGC